GTATGTATGTATATAGATATATGGCATGCTATTCTTGCTGTTACAACTCTGATACCTTGTGGTGGCCCCTACCACCGTTGGTCTCAGAATTAGGATACTTGTTTCCGTGTTTGCACTGAAGTTACCTTCGTTGAGCCCATTGTCTCCTAGCCTTGTTGTATTGGACATGCCACTCTGTGATTGATATGATATCGAGTGATATACTCCTATACTTTTGGATCTGAGGTATGATTTGCCGATTAGGGCGCAATCTGTGAATTTCATGTCGTTCTTTCCCGTACGTGGGTGGACAGTGTATGATATTGAGTGACAAACCCCTATCTAAATGTCTCGAGACATGGTGTATTGATTCGGGCAATTTAATTCAGAGCGTTGTCGCCAAGGTCTGTGGGTAGAGAGCACTTGTAAACGTAGCTGATGCGTGAAGTCCGTACGAGGAGTATGTTGGGCTTTCGCGATCTTATCTACAATTGGCTATGTATGTGTTAGACCTTACGTTTGGGTATCAGTAACTTACACTTAGCGATGCGTTTGCCACTTCGTCAAGCAAGACCTGATGCTCGATATTGGTGCATTATATATCATTTATTCATTATTGTTGGATTATACAATAGCGGTGATAAAAACACTTCAAGGAGAAAATTAGATCTTGTTGCGTGGTCGTAGTGAAGATCCATCGCATGTCTGTATATCGTGGGGGTTCTGTCGTTTGTTTTTGTACTAGTGTACAACCAGTGGGACCAGCTTATTGCCGATGGAGTGACTACTCTGTGAAGTCTCACTTGACCAGTTGGGCATCAGGATTTGGGATCTAAAGTCGAGAGTCTAGGGCTACACTCGATACCATGACACATCACTGCGTATATATTCCGCAAGAATAGTCGCTAACTGCACAAGCACCCAGTCTAGGAACTAGGCCTTTACGCTGAATGCATTAGCTAACCTGGTAGCACTAGGTAAACACCCGGTGAAGCCAGGTTGTGCGCAGTCTATGGATATATCACACTTCATGCTTGTCGTGAAGTATATTCAATCTACAACCAGTACCAATACGAGTCGAGCACAATCAAATCTCGGTGCTCACTCGATGCTAGTCCTCACGCATACAACTGACATCTCTCTAGCTCAGAGTTGGCATGTTTTGTAGCCAGAGTTTGGGGTTTCAACCCATAGTCGGTCCTCAATGTTTATAGTTAGTTTTCCATAGTCGGTCAATGTTTATAGTTAGTTTCTTCGGTGTGTTTGCACTACAGTTGAAACCATCACAGTGGCTGCTGGACTTACCTATAGAAATTGTCAGCCTGGAACTCATGAAAACCGGCTTCTACCTCGATTCAACACACATCCTGATCATGCTTGTGCGGTATGTCTTGTCTCTTACTTCGGGTTTTTATTTAGGGTGTTGTTGTTTTTTACGTCGTAACCTCGTATGGTGTTCTCGTGAATGCGAGTGTTGAAAAGGATGGTTTTGCGTCGTAAAATGTCGAACAATGTGGTAAACTATGGTAACACGTACGATGCGTGGATGCCCATAGTGATATGCATCCTGGAATCGATGACGATATACTTTTTCTATTTAATGCACATCCTGACCAATACTGTACAGTAAGTGCTTACCCGGGGTGTGCTTTATCATCAGTGTCTAGTTCTGTCGTATCATATGGTGTTGTACCGTATCGTATCGCGTATTGTATCGTAGTTAATCGGATTGTGCATTAGGGATGCTGTGCGGTATTTAGGGGTTATAAACCCTGAACCCTAAAGCCCTAAACGTTGCATGCCTTGTATACTAATTTGAAGATCATGTGATTCCGATCGCTTGCTGTCTACTTTAATGATTGTAATATTGCAAATCACATCGGTATCTATGTAGGGGATTACGCATTTCCGTACCTTCTGTGTATTCACTTTGGGAGTACATTTTACGAAGCACTTGTGTGTTGACTTTGAAGATTAAGATTGCTAAACTAAGCGCATATATAATCTGAAGTAGTTGTATGCCCAAATCGCATCTCCACACTGTATCCATAAACAGGGTTTCGGCCTAAAGCAATATTTGATCACAAAGACTGTTCCTCTTTAATTGTCCACAGGCACGGCCCGTACTCCTGGGTCGTACGACGGCGAGTGAAAGAGCTGCATGCGCTGAACGACCATCTGGTCACACAGTTCAAGAACACTGCGCAGGAGCTGCCAAAATTTGTCAATCGGTAAGAGTCGCGTGCACTTCACGTGACCTT